TAATCCATTCATAATTAGCATGTAATTTTTATATGCTTAGAAATTATTTTATGTTCCGACTTTAATAATGTTTGTCCAAAAGTTCAAGAAAAGACGAAACAAAATATTAACAAAAAATAACAATTTTAAGGTTACGCATGATTGTTGTTGTTGGTGTTGTTTAAGATGATTTTAAAATGAATTAAAATTTTTGAAAAAAAATTCTATTATCAAAAGTGTAAGAATATTCAAATTACTAATAACTTGTTATTTATCAGCACATTAATAATATGACAACATCTTTCTTTCTCTCCATGTGTCATGAGGTAAGTACGTTTGAATTAAATTCAATATTTTAAATTCGAATTAAAATTGGATTTTACATATCATGTTTATTTATTTACCATTAAACCTCTCAAGAAAAGGTACATGATTGTTTTTTTCCCATCTGAAATTTTTGATGCTAAATTAAGATTTAAACAAAAAATGCAAGAAACGATTGGCAAAAAATTCGTAATTTTTTTTTCCAATTTATTTATTTAATTTCCTATTTTTCATTACATTTTCCATTTCCTTTCATATTGTACATTAATTTTTTTTAATTATGTAAGCACACAATTATAATGCAACAAATTTCATTGCAAAAATTCATAAACAGTTAAAACATTTTCCACTATGATTACCTCATTTATTTGATAATTCCCGCTGTTGCATGATAATAAAGGAATGCTAGAAATGAAGTGGCAGTAATCCGCTAAAAGAATCAATTTCAAATTGTCAGAAATTAATTCTTCCTAAATTCTAAAAAAAAATCAATTCAAGATTATTAAAAATTAATTATCATAAAATTTCGAAAACAATCAATTTTGGAAGCTGAGATTTTCAAATTTCAAAATGCTGCTTAATAAAGGAACGTCATAAATTTTGTGAACTGAAATTCACAAAGATTGTCATTTACAAATTAAAGGTTAAATTTGGACAGAACTATTCAATGACACATAATTTCTTTTCTATTACCTTCAATTTCATTTACTTTCTTTTAACATCAACACTTTTTGGAACGATTTAAACACTGAAATTTATTTTATTGAATTTTTTTTATTGGTCATCTGTTTATTTATTTTATGAAATTTATTTTATTGGTCATCTGCGAATGTTATTATAGATATGCATTGTAATAATGTCTGTGCCCCCTTTTTTATTATATATGTATGTAATGTAGCATTAATTTATCATGTCAAACAATTGTATATTTCAGGAAGAAAATTTCGTCTTAAAATTTTGTATTATTCAAATTTAACGAACAAGAAACATGTATGATGATTAATGATGATGTATTAGAGATATTAAAGTATTTTGAGATTGATCAAAATATAGGTTTCTTACTTCCGAATCCATTAACAAAACTTCCAAAAAAATTTGAGCCATGGCATCACATAGCCGGTAATTACTTCTATTCCTAATTTTTTTTTTGAATTATTTTAAAATTAACAACTTACTATCAGATGCATTCTTTTTCTTAGATGAAATTTTCAATCTTATTATCACCATTAATTAAAATGTTTCATTATTAATTTATTTTCAAACAGATATATTTATTAATTTTTAAGTGATGACGATTAAAATTTATTTGGTATAAACTGTTTCAAACAAATTTTAATCATCTATAACTTATATTTTACTTAATTTTAAAATTTATAGATGAAATTCAAGAATTAATAGAAAATCATATGTTGGAAGATCGATTACAACAAGTTCCAGTGATAACCACGGATACACTTAAAACAAATAATGAATTACGCTTAGCCCATCTTTTGTTGACCACCTTAGCAGCTGGATATGTTTGGCAAGACGGACCTGATAAGGTGATGATGGATAAGCTTATTTATCATGCAATCTTTTTCTTTTAGCATTGATACTATGAACACAAATATTATAGCATTCCATGAAAAATTTACTCTAACTGTTATCAAATTAATTAATAAACATTTTAATCCTTCAATTTAAAGATAATTTTCAGACTTATAATCTCATTGTTAGAATTTTTCAGGCTCGATTAATCGTTCCAGCAAATATTTCACTACCGCTGTTCGATGTATGCAATCGTTTAGGTTTGAAACCGATAATTTGTCATGCATCAGCCTGCCTAGCTAATTGGAAACCGATAGAAGGGATGACAGTTTTTAATGCTGCAATGATTGATATCATTACTTTCCGATTTGTTCAGCATCCCGGTAATCGATGGTTTTTTACGCTTACTGCTCAGGTTAGTTTTGAAAAGCTTATATTTATTGCATTTGGGTAACAAATAAAAGTTTTGTTATTATATCAATTGTAATTATATAGATAGAAGCTGAATTAGCTGAAGCAATATGTGCAATTACTAGCGCATGTCTACATGGCAAAATTGAAGAATCTACAATGCAACACATTTATAATGCGGTGACAAAAGCGACAAGTACCATTCAGGTTCAGTTGTTATACCACACTTAATAAATCATATCTGATTAGCGGATTAGATTATATAGAATGATATTGTATTTCTAAAACAGTTCAAGCGTAAATTTTTGTAAAAGATGTGTGCTAATTAATAAAATTTAATTTTAAAGGATTTTAATTTATCTATCCTTAATTGGATCACTGCGAATTTAGATTAATTGGTCTAAATTAGCTAATCAGTAAACCCATCTGAAATATCAGTAACTATGCCAGATCAGGTTACGCTTTGAATATGATCTTGATTGCTCTTAAATGTAATTAGATATTAGAAATAGCATTTAATAATGCGTTTTTTGAATTCAAAATTAGTGAATAATTAGAAAAGTAAAGAAATGTTTGAAAAAAAGAAGAAACATTTTTTTGTAATTTCGTTCAAAAATTTGGATAGTGTATGGAGGAGCACGTCCCACCAGATATTTTCTACAATGGTTTTCGTCATTTTCTATCCGGTTATACCCAAAACGCATTGGCAGAACAGGGTGGTGTTATATTTGAGGGTAATAATCACTCATTTGTATTCTCTCTAATTACTTTCAAATTTTTTCATTATTTACATTAATTTTTATTTTTTAGTAGACTAAAATGGAGTAGTTTGTATCCGTTATTAAATTTCTAGTTTCATAATAATAAAATCCATATTTAAAAACATCTCTAAATAAACTAAAATTAACAAGCTATTTGAGTCAATTTTCACAATGAATAAGTTTAGGAAAAGAAAATTTGGGACCTCAACCACTTAGTGGAGGTTCAGCAGCACAAAGTTCAACATTTCATGCTATTGATGCATTCCTTGGAATCAAGCATGCACATGATGTAGAAACATTTTTGGCACATCATCGTGAATACATGCCACCCAAGCATCGTCAATTCATTGCTTGGGTTCGCGAAAATGTTGCTAAAATTCCAAATCTACGAAATGTTTCCGGTTATGGTGAAGCTCTCCTTGCTGTCAAGAAATTTCGAGAAGTACATATTAGCGTGGTGAGTAAACTTGTGCTATGACGTATATTTGAAATCATATCATTAATTATTTATATATTTTAGGTAACGAAATTCATTGTTTCACCAGCAAAAGGGAATTCCAAAATAGGCACTGGTGGTTCATCATTTATGCGTTTGTTGCATAATATTGCCAGTGATTGCAATCTATAATTTTTCCAACTAACAATACAAACAAATTATCAGTTCAAATAATATTAATTAAATACCACATTTATCGTAGTAGCATTAACAAATTATTTAAATATACTTAAAGTAGTGGCAAACATTGATTGTAATTGACTAAGCCATTTAATAAAAGAAATAAAGCAATTTGATAATTACCATTGTAAATAAAATCATATTTTATAATTATTTTGCGTTTAATAAACGATATATGAAAATTCCATCATATGTATGTAATAGTTTAAATTTAAATTCAACAAGTAAAATTTGATAAAAATTACAAATGACAGTAACGATACTCTTTCCTTCATTGGAATAATTCATCAGGTTCACCAATTATATCCACAAAACGGCGATGGATTGCACCTTTATACATTTTTTGATTCCTGTATGAAATGATGATTGTTAAAATATTGCGGAATTTTCTGGTTTATCAATTAATATATTAAAACGAATTGTATTAAATTTATTATCTATATAGTAACTGAAGTAATATTCTTAATAAATGGAGTAGTTTTACGATTAGTAAGTTGTAGCATTAAAATTTTTTTTAAATGTATAATAAATTTCACAAGTTTTCAAAAGTATGAGAAAAAAAGATGGAATATTACTCGTTACGATAAATTGCTCCAACGATCATTGTTATTTCAAATAATACAGCTAACCAAAGTAACATTGTTACCCATGTCATACTTTCATATCCCAAAAAAAAAAAGCATGAAATTCGTATTAAGAACTTTTGAAATTGGAAGTTTAAAATAATCCCATTTAGTTGATTTTTTCATCTTTTTAAAATTCAAAAATAAAATTACTGCTAACTAATATGTATGTATTGGTTAATTAAATTATTATCAGTAATTAGCAGACTTTTCGTTTTTGTCTAACACTCTGCTTATTACTTATATAATAGCCAAAGGTAAATAATAGCCAAAAGAAATGCATAGATTTTTTATCGTGTCAAAAATTCGACATATTTAATCATATTATTTCGATACTGTTCGTTTCCATTCCAACTTACTTTCACCACATTTATATCCTTTTGAGAGATGCTTACATATACAGGTTATCCGTTCTATTGGTGTTTTCGAATCAATCATTTCGCATCGACCATTATTTTGACATGTTTTAGGAAGACATCTTTTCAAAACTAACAAAATAATCATTAATTATATAATGTACCATAATCATGTGAGTAAATGTACAATATAATATTATATATATATTATATATATATATTGGTTAATAAAAAAGCTTGCAAGTGATGGATAAAGATTTTGTCTCAACAGAAAGTTCATATAAATCAATTAATTATACTATATTAGAAGCATTATGAATACTCTTTTACATAATGATAAATCAAATGATAATCTTACTTATGCGATAGCAATATGAGGTTGAATGCCTCGAGCAATTGATTATTTGATTGTGTTTCGGATTATACACATAAAGTTGTCTACCATTTGGTATATATCCATAACTGAAATATTCACTATCTTTCCCACCTCCATCATTTCTTCTTTTTAAATCTTAAATTTCATGTAATTGTTTACATTCTTTAGCAAAGCCATATTTTCTCTCCATAAATGAATGAGTAAAAACAGTGGACTGAGGTCAATCTAAAAGCTATCAGAAAATTTGATCCAGCTAGCATTATTTCTGATTAGCGCTTAAGGAATCATAATTTTAGGCAATATGTCCAATGAAGAGCTATAACTGTCCCAAATTAAACTGAAATGAAATGATCAAAATTATATAGATAACTTTTTTAGACTATAAAGTTAATTAATTATTAGCATTGCAAGTATGCATGCTTCCACGAAATGTATGGTAAAATTCGCTGAACGAATTATTTCAATATTCATTGTATCATATATGAAGTTAATGTAGAAGTATAATCATATAATTTTATCATCTTCCTTTTTCAGTTGTATTTTAATTTTTTAAAGTAGGAACAAGCGGAATTTGAAAAAAAAAAGTACATGGAATAATCTTAAATATAAATAAAATTTTTGAAAAATTTCAAATTTAAGTAACGTACATTTTTCTGTACATTGAATCAGTCGTATTTATCATTCTTTCATCAACAAACCATTCCGATGGATTAGGAATCTCGCATTGAACGGTATTTGGTACACCTTTATCCCATGATAACGATCGACATTGTGATATTGTGGATGCGAGAATGACTGATGAACTGTAATAAATAATTTATAGAATGACTGAAATTTTTTCTTAAAGCATTTATTAAAATATTCTAAAATAAAACATTAGTAGATTTCAGCATAAAAGGAACGCTAGCAATATTCTCATAGAAAAATGATATTTGAATAAATCGAATAGGTTAACAAATTTTGTATCTTAATTTTTTAAACTTTTTTTGAAGAATTTATGATCTATGTTATGTTGAAGGGGGAAAAAAACTTTCGAACATCAAATTTTCAAGTATTTTTTTTTAGCATCTTCCAATTTGTAATTTGAAAAATGATAACAGTTCGGTCAAAAATTTTAATATTCTCGAAGAGTGATACCATAGAATTAGAAAGTTCAATTGTATAATGATGCATGATAGCATCATTCCATTGAGTTGAGCAACCGGTTGGTGTGATCCCGAATGTAGAATATTGTACTTTTAGCTTTCCAACTTTAAGATGAAATTTTTATCGTCTGCTCTCTGCTAGACCAATCTCAATCTCGGGTGATTATATTACTTGCTATTTCCTGTTTTAACTATCATATTAATATTCAAATATGGAAACGATTACTATCCTATTATCCCGCTTGGGATTTCGTATTGCATTAACCGTAGCACAGCTGTGATTCTTTAAAGAGTGAGAGTAAGTGAAGGTGAGCTGGCGAGGGAAAATGATTCTGAGGAGAATGAGGGGTTGATAAGGTCGAAGTAGTGTGAAATTAGAGAAAGAGGAGAAGTTAGAAAATAGTATGGCAGTATGGTAGTAATTGCCAAAAATGAAGAAATAACATATTAGAAATTGAGGTTAGAATAGGGTAAGCATAGTGATAGGTGTGAAAGGAAAAAGAGTATTAGCTGTTTAAAGAGCACAATATTTGATTGCCATATTGATTGAAGAGTTTGCTAGTGTTATTAGGAGCTAAAATTGTTGGTATAGTCAGCTTAGCGAAATATATTTGCATGGAGGAAGTGAACAAGTTTTATCTCAAAACAGTCACAAAGAATATTTTTTTTTTATCGTTTTATTTTCATTTTTCTCGAAAAATCAGCAAACAATTCATTGTAAAGATAAATATTATAGTAACTTCGTGCCAGACTATTTTCATAATATTTGGAATAGAATTTACAGAAGTGATAAGAAGTAAGTATTAGTGGATCAAAGTATCATATAGATGATTTCACTAACTAAGTCATCTAAGCAGTCCGCTTCATCAGCTGTTGCAATGGAACGACGAAAACGTGAAAAAGAACGAAGCAAATGTTATTAGTTTCAATATTTTTGTTATTTGGCACAAAAAATTCTAATTTTTTGTTGAGAGAGTAGAAATTATTAACCAAAGGTTATTTGTTACAGTATCGATGAAAAGGAAGTTACCATCGGATGCAAAAAGTCGTTTTGGCAAAGAATTTTTCGCAAAATTATATGAGTTATTTCAAAGTGTTGAACAGGATGCCTGTGATCGGTTACGTCAAATGCATGATGAGGTAATAAATTCTTATATTTTTTAAGATATTCTTCACGAAAATTATGATCAGAAAATTATTTTAATGCTTCCAGGGATTTGCAAGTCATTTATAATATGGGAATTGTTTTTGATTCAGGAAAAATTAGGTTCATTTTCTTCCATTAGTTAAGGTTTTGATTGTCTTATTTAATCTTTAAACATTATTCAGTCAAGGCATTGTCACATTAGTAAGAGGTGTTTATAAGTTCACATGAACTAAGTACTTGTAGCACATTTTGCTTTTTTAATTACAGTTAGCCGCTTATTACAATGAACATGATTTGAATGTTATGTGGATATCGGATGACGAAGCCGATGATAAGGAAGTTAAAGCACCGTTATCGAAGAAAACTCATCAGGATGTTAATAAAGGTAATGGAATCATATTTCTAAACAATTGTTGAAATTTTTATTGTTAATCTTCATACATTAGTTTAGCTATGCTTTCTCGTTTTTGATTTTTATCTACATTTGCTAGCTTCTTTATTTCATTATAAATTTTATATGTGATCGATGGTTAGTGGATTTTCGTTTTACAGTGCGTGACTGTGCTTTTCAGCAAAATTGAATAAACCAGATGTTGCTGAAAGCACCTCGATTTTTTTCCAAATCCTTTATAGTAAAGAAAAATTCTTGTAGGTGATATTCGCTCTGTAAATATTCCGCGGTCAAAAGTGGAAGCTAAGGAAAAACTGAAAATGAAATCAAACGCCAAAAATGTGAGTGGATTCATTTTTATCGGTTATAGTTTACCAAAGTTTTTTCTTTATTAGTTCTTGTTTTGCCTTTTTAAATATAAGATTTTCAGTGGAATTCAAATTCTTAATGCTTTCAGTCAGTGGTAAATACTTCACCAATTCCAACATCATTGTTGTTTTCCCAGTTTGAATTAAGCGATGATTCTGATGACAACACTTCCCGGAAATTATCCGGATCCCAAACTAAAAATTGTAAGGTAAGTTTATTAAAGAAACTATCAGCGAAGAGTCCGACGTCAGTGGCTTTGATTACTGTTCGATGATGTTAAATAGTATTTTTTAGCACCATTGTTCGTCATTCTGTTATTGTTATTGCTCGTAATAATCATTACACGACGTTTTCTAATATACCTTTCTACAATCTCATTATTTCTACAGATTTGTTATACATGTACTGGTGTAACGAGTTCTCCAAACAACATGATCTTGGATTGTGAAGAATGTGGAAAAACTGTACATCAGAGATGTGCTCGTCCTGAAATTACGACTTCACAAGCCAAAGATCCACGTTTCCTATTTGTTTGTAATGATTGCAAAGACCGCGAAGTATCAGTTTATTATTTGAATTTACTAAAGTACTGCGCTCTAATCATTTAGAAAGCATTGTACTCTGATTTAAATTTGGATACTCTAAAATAATCGATTCATTTCATCTCGTTTTTGTTAAACTGTAAACATATTCCACATTCTTAGCGCGGCTTAAGAGTGCTTATGATATGAGCTCTCTTGCACTACCTCGAATCATTTAATCATATTTATAATTGAAATACTACAATATTTACGGATAATTATATATTGAAAAGTAAGATCCTGCACACTGTCTTATTATTGGTTATTTCAGGACGAGAAAATGGGGTCAAGTTCGAAGTCAATTTCCAATTTTAGAAAGGTGATTTTTTTTTAAAGAAACTGCTGATAAGAAGCCATTTAGAGTGTTAGATTTTAATTTGTTAAATATTTCCCAGAGTACGATAAATTCTCATGCTAATTGTAACATGTAGTCATTAGAAGGAATAAGGATAACAAAGTGAAATAACGAAATCAACACTAATGTCATTTCTCATCAATCATTCAGTTGCAGAATGACAAAGGAAGCATGCCAAAGTGTTCAGAGGAAAGAATTCAACCTCTAAAATCAGAAAACGATATCTTAATAACATTCTCAAATTTCGCTGCTAAGAAAGGTTATCATTCCTTCACTAATCTTAACATATTATATTTGGGCGCAAAAATCTCCTTTATTTTGATTATGCATCTTAGAATTCCTTCTTACTTTCTGCATTAACATCATTTATCGTTTTATTAGTGTGGCAGCATTTGTTTGGGTTCAAAGTCAAATTTAATTCCAGTCATATTCCAAAAATTAAAATTTGGTAAAACTATTTTCTATTCATTTACACCTCCATATGAAAAATGCCTTTTAAAATATTTGATGATTATTTCAGCAAAGAAATCCGCGTCATCAGGAATTGCTGGTGGTTCTAATCCGCAAGTTGGCAGTGTGACAATGAATAAAGTACTTCCTTCCTTTAATGCCAAGGATCGGAAATAAATGATCATAAAGTTTCAAAAAAAGAATTTTCAAATAATAGGAAATGGAATTCCATGCACTTAAAGTCATGTCTCGCTCTTCCCAATTCAGTTTGCATAGATAGTGCAATATTTTGTGGATAAATGTTTTGCTGTGATTTGCGTGATGAGTGGCATAATAATGTAAGAATTGCAATAAAGTGAATAATCCTAATGTGTGAATGAGATGGATTGAATTACCTTTCATAGGCGTGCAAAGCATGAAATTAGAGAGTCGGCAAAACAATCCTTAAAAGCTTCGCAGAGATAGTTCAAATTCAGGAAAAAGACAAAGGAGAGGAATTCTGGCATAGAACGGAAAAGCATTTAGGAGGTAAATAATTCCGGAAAAAGTTGGAGACAAGCATAATTCAAGACCGGATCAATTGAAATAAGAGAAATTCAGAGAACGATTTACACTGAAGAAAAGGATAGTCAATCAAAGAGATTTCAAGTTACAATTTCGAATGTTTTTTCCATTATCCTAATGAATTCTCAAGAGGCTCTGAAAGTATTCAAATTAGTACTGCCATATATACAGATTTACGAGGTGTACGAGTGAGAACTATTCTATACCCTATTTAATGACAGTATTTTACACTGGAAAATGGAAGTCAAAGAAGTTATTTCGGAAAATTATGAATTTGATTTGAATTTTTCTTCGTGCTGTATGTTTAAATCTTTTAAGTTGCCCATCACATAGTTTTTCACACAACTGCGTTATTATTGGATGTAACTAATTATGAATTATTGTTATTGTTAGCTTGGCTTCATTGCATTTTTTTATTCTTTTCCACTTTCATCGCAAATTCCTTTTTGTCTCTTCTCTCACCATTTTAGGAATTTACTGAATGGGAAAAAATTAAAACAAACAAAAACACGATGAAATACATATACATACACATGCATACACACACACATACACAAATACGTACACACACACACACACACACACATACACACAGACATACACACACACGCGCGGTGCATATGTATGCGACTACAAATAGATTTTTTTTCAATATTTCATTACTTTACTTCTCTCGCTCTCTAATCCATAATCTTGCTAACCTCATTAATCTTTGACCTTCGCTAAAATATATTTTAACGCTCTATTCAGTTCTTGTCTCGTTTCCAAATGGAAGGTGTAATGATCTGTCTGTTTGTAACTAAGATGCGTAAAAAGCGATTATTTGCTGCGTATGTTTTTGGACTAAATACTTTATTCGGAAATGATATTTGGCCAAGTACCTCATTCGAGAGGGATATTTGACCAGTACTTTACTAATGATTCCTTTAAAAATCTGTATAATCAGAAAGAAGAACTAAGAAGTTGAATGGGTGAAATTTTGCTGAAGCGCAAATAAAATATTTTGTCACATATTTAATACTTTAAAATACGTATAATGACGATGAGTAGCGTGTTATGTAATATTTAATTTATATACATGCGCATTGCTCATAGATGTGACCAATCTTCGATACTATTTTTCTTTTTTCTATGCTGCTTTATTTTTTAAGATTTATTGATTGAATGAATACACAATGAAATTAAATATTTCGTGTGCAACGAAAATTTATCCATTAGAGATAGACATTGAACAACCTCCGAACAATAAAGATGATCATCAAACTACCTGTAAGTGAATGTTTTTGTTACTTACTTATCCTAGCTATATCAAATCTTTATAGAGTCGTTACATGTTTGTGAGTATTTTTTAAGTATTCAATGTTAAGTGGATTTTCTGATGCTGCGGTTATTTGTAACTGTAGTCGTACATATAATAAATGGTTATAACAAATCCTATAATTAAAAGTACATCAGAAAAGTGGTTTCCAAGAAATAAAATTAATAATGATAAGTAGCAAATGTTTTTTCATTCGGTACTTTTGTCTGTTTGGTAAGCTTTTCTAAGTGACTTCTTATTGAGATTACTTCTGTTGAGATTATTTTTTAATGACCATTATAAGTTTATTTTTTTGACAATATTGTGTTATTTTAGTATTAGATACTTTGAAGAAATATAAATACAATGTATCCAGCTTTTTTTGATGATTTTAGAGATGCACAGAATAGGCATTACGTAAATGTTACTTTATCTCGTCCTTTGAGACGTTAAGGATTTTTTTTTTTTTGGGTCTGCTAAAGTCTGAATAGTTTTTCAATTATAGCAGCTCAAGAAGACAGTACTGTTAATACGAATACAACCAATGCGGAAAAGATCTCAACATTTGGATCACTGAAACAGCAAATATGTTCATTGTGCAATATCTGTCCGAATGCTTTAAAAATCGTTCACAGAGGTATAATACTTTTTCTTTTCAAATCAAAATGAATTTTTTAAGAATTTGATTATTAATATTTTGAGGTATACTGGTAATAATATTACCATCAAAACCGATGAATTAATCATATGATGGTATTAATATTGAAATGTTAGGAAAAGAATTGCATAATGCAGAATTTTCATGTTTAGGACGTATTTTAATGGGTGATAATTCCACTCCGCTATCATCTTTTAATTTTAAAGAAAATGATAAATTACTGGTTCTTGGTAAACCACCGACAACAGAAACAGATGTTGGATGGAAGGTTTGTTATATAGAGAAGCGTTTTTATTCTATTATAAGATTAGCAGCACCGACAAGTAGTTACTAGAAATGGTACGCTTGATATTAAGGTATATTTCGCTAACATCGTGTACTCATTGGAAGTTTATCTATTTTTTGTAATCTGTGATAACGAATGAGACATCCTTATTGCACTCATTAGAATAGTAAGTTTTATTTTTAGTTTAAAATTATCCAAACTTGTCCATTTTTAAAGTTACTGGTGGATTTCGAGCGGAAGCATACTGTGGCTGTATCTAAAACATATGCAAAGAATGAAAATGATCTGACTCAGTTGGAGAAAAACTTTTTGAAAGGTTCTGCAACTTGTTCGCATAATCGTTTGATGATTTTCGGAAATAACTCAACATACTGTAGAATTTTGTTTTTTATTTGTTTTTGATATTAATTAGTTCTCACTTTAGCTTGCATAATACTTTACCTACTATTACTTATATTTTATCAATAAGCTGATATAAGAGGATGTTTTTCAGAAGTTTATTATAAACATGAGTAGAATAAATAAGCGAAAAAAATATGGAGTATATACCATACTTTTTTGAAAATCAAAACCTATAGATCCTGAGAGGCGAGGATATATAATGGGAATGGATAAACGCTTGAAAGGATACGCTGAAAATTGTATGAAACTCTTGGAAACTCTTGACGGTTTGCAAATCAATAATAATAATACCGATGGAGAACAAGTGATTTTTTTTTTTGTAAACAAAATTACCAGAATAGTACCTAAAATATGCACATTTTATTGCAAAACATTCGACTAGGATGTTTGCAATAAAAGTAATAAATTAGTGGATACACTGTACATGGAAAAAATACGATGTCATCAAGCTTGCTGTTCTTGAAGTTATTGAGGTGCTGCCCTGAGCTTGTTATCATAAGTTTTTTTGAAGACTTATTATCATAAGTCTTCACTGGTTGTTTTCTTCCATCTGCCATATATGTTTCATTGTTAATGCAAACAAATAGTTTTGCTCTTTATTTCGGGTTTTACCGAAAAATGAATGATATTTCTTGACGATGCTAAACACATTGAATTGATTTCTGTATATATAATTTTTGAATATTCTAAATTGGCAATTTAAAGGCTCAACGAAATCGCGAAAAACGGAAATTCTTAGTGGATGGACTACAGGACGCACTAAATAAAAATGATAAACTAATGGCACGACTGACTGATTATCTAAATCAATGCGAACATCCTGAAACATCCTGAAGATGCTTTATGGTTGAGAATAACTGTTTCCACTGGAAAATGATCTAATTTTTGAAATTATATTGGTAGTTTTTTTTTTAATTTATGGCTTTTTATCAAGAATTTAGAATAGAACTGTCTCAGGGTTGAATGCTGTGCAAGATTTTGCAAATTTTCTATAATTTGCTTTTCACTAAGTGATGATTATATTTGAATTTTTAGCAAGAGTTGTCAACTTTCTAGTTATCTTATCAGAAAATATACTGCGGAAAATGATTATAATTTGTAATTCTTTTCTTGTATTTTTAATCTGTCGTTCAACACTTTATAGCAATCACTAATATGTTAATCATCATTTCGTAAATTAAAATTTGGAATTATTTTGTCTTTTTTTTTTTCATTTTGGTCTATTGGAAGAATTCCTAACATTTCTTTAAGTGCAGGATGCGACCCAGTGTAGTAAATTATACAGTCTGTTTGTGTGCTATCATTGGTTTTGTAACATGTTTTATTTTATATACTTAACTTTTTAGTTCTCGAATTGTGACACTTTCTATCCAGCTCTCCATAATCGAAATGGAGTAATATAATAGTAATGGATTATTATTTTACTCTTTGCTTTTCTTTCTTTTTAGCTTGTGTCATAGTGGATTAAAATTTCAATAATTGTTTTTGTGAGCAATATTGCATTACCTTAAAATACAGATAAATTTTGTTAAAATTGAGCTCCCTGCATTTTGCTCATTCGTTCTTCACCGTTAGTCGAGTGTATCTTAAATTTTTGAAATGCGAATCCACCGTAGGAAATTTCGCGAATAGTTTAGAAACGTGCACTTTGGAAATACCGCTATTGTTTTTCATAAGTAATTTCTGAATCGTTGCATGATGATCGTATTGAGCGGAAACCACCATGTCGAAGTGGCACAGGGAGAATGGCCAATGACTAATGATGATTGGTGTGTTGGAGGTAGTAGTGGTGGTGGGAGAGAGGTAAATGGGTGGGCGGGTGGTGGAAATTGGTAATTCTTGGAGGTGTTGCGCATATGTGGGTTATGTATGGTAACGTATAGATGATTGGAGTAGTAAGTTTGAATTAAAGCATTTGCTGTGTAGGTTATGGATGAATTGGAACAGCAGCGACCAAACGATACGACTGTTATTGGAGTGCAGGCAAAAATGGGTTTGTTTTCGGAATATTATTTAATTATTTAATAAATTAAACAGAGGTATTTCCTTGTTTATTGTATTTTTTTTCATTTGTTTTTAGAAAGTAATGGTACTACGGAGCCACACGTTACGACAGTTCCTGTTACAACATACATGCCAAGCGAAGCTCTTGTACCAATGCCTGTTCTTCCTCAGTCTGGTGCTGTAAGTCCTTCATATTTCAATTTTTTTTTTATTTTCGTTTCGTTATTTTTGTTAATTTTATCTTTCTCCGAGACTTTTTTATTTTGCTTCAATAAATGCCAAGCAAAGCTCTTTACCAGTATTGGTTCTTCCACAATTGGTAATTATTATGTGAAAAAATTGTACAGATGGAAGTATGTGCTATTTTTGAATATTGGATATTACTGTGGTAAATTCGTCAGAAAACTGTAAATGGGAAATAGGTTGTAATACCGGAAGTGGATGGTAAATATTCAATCAGATTGATTGGGAAAATCAGGTTATGATGGAATCATTATAGGAGTCCAATTTCTTGAGATAAATCAAAAAATATCATGCCAGATCACATCCTGCTATTATTATTGTGATTTTTTTTAAAAAAATTTGTCTCCTTTTCAAGATCATCGTTGGACCTGGAGCTAAGAAGGAGGCTCAGCTACTTGGTTTGGGCCTTGTAAAACTGCGCAGCAAACAGAAGGATTGGTTAGCAGATGCAAAAAAATATGCAAAAGAGCAGTCAATCAAGCAAGTGCTTCTCAGACAAACACTTGCGCATCAACAGAATGTAAGTGCAACTTGCGGAATATGTGTCTGGAAGTAGATTATCTAGATTATGGACAAGTCAATAATGTTTTGTTGCTATTTTATGTTTCATAAAATAGGTTAATCTAAGAATGAGTTGTTGATAATGTGCATATAAATCTTGCTTATAATAGAAAACTGATTCTGGAAATTTCGAGAGTTCAATGAACACACGTGTGAATACGGAACTCTTGATGACTATAAATTTCCACGCAATTTGACGATCTTGTTATGATTATTATTTGTCAGCTGTAGTGGCTATTACGTTGTCGATTTATGACTATTTCATTAGCACTTGAATCATATTTCAGCAACAAAAAGTCGCGATGTATGCACAAGCTTTATCTCTTATGGCGCGTGTTTATATTGGTTCGATCAGTTTTGAAGTTCGCGAAGAAATGATAAAAAATGCCTTCGGTGTATTTGGTCCAATCAAATCAATTAATATGAGTTGGGATGCCGTTACAGGGGTTAGTTCATATAGACCCATAGGTTTGAAGTGGTAAAAAATATTGAAGAAGATGGAATTCATAAAATAGATTATGGTTTAAACTTTATGATTGTTGGCAAGAGACTTTTTAGAATTTTCTTTTATGAACGTGCTTTTATAATGAAGTGTTATGCTACAGTTATGTTAATTATTCCCAAAAGCAAAGTTGTTATCGACAGCTTGATTTGTAGAGCATTTAGTTAATACAATTGTACTGTTGTATTGTATGCTGTTATTATTTTAGCATCACAAAGGTTTCGCATTTTTGGAGTACGAAATTCCTGAGGCAGCGCTTTTGGCGCAGGAATCAATGAACGGTGTGCTGATGGGCGGCCGTAATCTCAAGGTTAATGTTCTAGTCAGTTAATTATCTTATTATCTTTTATTGTGTTTTCTTTTATAGTCATGGGCGAACTGTCATGGTTGTTCAATTCTTTTTCTTAAACAGATCTTTAATTCGAGGATTATCCTCGTTAAAATCTTGTTGAGATGTACAGGTCTTAGTTATATGTTTAAAAGGGGTAGATTAGGTAGATTTCGAGTATTACACACTGATCTCAATTTTGAGGTCGGGCGGCCATCAAATATGCCACAAGCTCAGCCGATTATCGAAATGGTAATGCAAGAAGCGAAAGCATATCATCGGTTAGTATACATTGTCAGATTTAGACATTTATGGCTGCTTTTTTGAAATTTCGTTCGTCATAATCATGGTATCAGCATCTTGAATAATTTTCGATTATTCACGATAGTTGTCTGAAAGCTTTTTCAACAAAATTTCCTTATCTCTGAATAGTTTTATAGGAGATACATTGAGTATTAGTGTATATAGTAGGATGCTTCAAACATCTGACTGTCATTTCATTCCATTTAGCTCCTTTTTCTAGGGTCTATGTTGCATCAGTTCATCCGGATCTCTCAGAATCTGATCTCAAAAGTGTATTTGAAGCATTTGGCGAGGTGACGAAATGTCAGCTAGCCAGAGCTACAGGACCGAATGCTGGAAACGGACATAGGTAAAAAAATGCATGTTATTAAAGGCATTATATTTTGCTAGCGCGTTATTCGCGATATCTGATTATGTTGTTACGCGTGTTGCGCCGATCATCTTGCAGGATGCAAAATCATTGAAATTACTTATATTAACTACCGTGTTTCTAGTTGAAATTTAAGATTTCTTACTGGTCAGCTCAACTCTTCTGAGATAACATTACATTCAAGCATTGTTTTTTTCTTTCGTCCTAGCAGTTTATTGTAAATTTGTCGAATAAAGTGTGGGTAAAGCATTATTTTCAGAGGTTTCGGCTATTTGGAATTCAGTAATGCTCAATCAGCAAATGAAGCCATTGCCGGAATGAATATGTTTGACCTTGGTGGACAGTATTTGCGTGTTGGAAAATGTATCACGCCACCAGATGCGCTAACATACATCGTTCCCACATCTGCTGTGAATCTGCCAACAGCTGCAGCTGTTGCAGCTGCTGAAGTGACTGCAAAAATTCAAGCGGAAGAAATGACTGCAAAAAAATCACCTGTTAACACTGCCAGCTCATCTCCAGTAAGTTAAAAAGAAGATACAATTGTAATATTTTGTCTCATGTTCTTTTATTTAGCCGTGAAATGAAATATAATCCATTCATCTCAACTGATTATTTAAAGCATGATAAGTGCATCCTTCTCGATACTAACATTATCCAATATTTTGGATTCCAACATGATGGGGCGGCCGAATGTGAAGGGTGGATACGAGATCAAACAAAATTTACATTCGTAAAGTTCATTATTTTTATAGCTATCAGGAAGTATTGCGGTTCGGCAGAGCTCACCGCAACCGTTTAACATGCAGGCAACACCACCGGTAGGTGTTGCAACAGTTCCTCCTGTTGGAATAGCAACCGTTCCATTGGTTGGGCTTCCAACAGTATCACCAGTAGCAGCAGGAAAGCCATATTCCTCAACGGTTGTTTCCCTAACACCTCCGCCGTCTGCTGTCGTTCCTACGCAGGTAACTATTTTTTAACATAAATGAATTTAAAGACTTATTATCATGTTGTGGAAGATACGAGATGAATAAGTTTCACAATGGACAAATGGAAACAAATCCTAATGCAGATTCTAATAAAATCTCGCGAATTTCAAGTATTTGGAAGATCAAATTCTTTGAATTATTTGTTGTCCAGCTCATTTTGCTTTTTTTGGAGATTTCAACGCCACCTCCACCTGTTGCAACACCACCACTTCCACCGGGACCACCTCCAGGTAGCCGTCGGGGATTTGGCGGCTTTGCCTCGCAGACACCACCTGTACAAGTTGTTAGCATTCCACCACCACAAGTTATAACATCTATACCAGCACCGGCCAGCACGATTCCAGTACCGCCACCGCCTGTAAGTATTGATTTCAAGAATTTCAAGAAAAATTATTCACTATATTACAACGGAAAATTTTGTAATAAGTTTACTGGGCAAAGTTAGATTTTCAAAATATTACAAACCCTACAGGTTCCTTCAATGCCACCGCCTCCTGTAACGTTGTCGTCTACGCAATCAGTAATATCGAGGATAAACATTGGCACTGCAACAAATTCTTCTGTTGAACCTGCTACATTTGCTCCTCTTCCAGCCAACATTGCTCCTGTGGATCGTAAAACGTTAGTTTTCGAAGTCACTTGAAATTGAAATTTTTAAAACAGTATGGCAGATATTGTTTGTAGGATAAAATGTTGCGTTTTCTGAAGCGAAGTGGAGAAGAACCGATTATCGAATGAGTTTTGATTTAGGATAAGATTGCACAACCTAACTCAAGTGACATGCTATAAAGAAATGAACGAAAAAACGCGCCGAAAAAAGGATACTAATAAGAATGAAGGATTAATCTCTGAATGGAAGAGAAGGACGGTAGATCTCAGAAAAATTTTGATAAATTATCAAATTTAGGATAACTAGTGCTGATGGTATAATGGACCAACTTGCGATTGGTCATGCATCGACAAGTGATTCCAGTAGCATGGCTTTGGTTATTTCCGACAATTCCATACCAAGTCGACGTGATTTGCAGAAGGTTAGTGGGACTGGTAAAGAAAAAGGATCAAAATCGGATGAAAAATCATATAAAAAGAAGAAAAAGAAGCCGGTATCAGTTGCACCAAAAGGACCACAGGTTTGTTCATTTTTGTTAGCACAAACCTCGCGTTTATCTATTAAAACTTCGTGTATTCATATGAAGTATACAAATTTATTGCTGTGTGCAAAATTTTAATGTACAATTGTGTCGAAATAGGCTTTTTTGATTTTGATTTTGTTTTAATATTTAACCTGCGGTAAATATTATTGCAGCTCAATACCCCTCAAGCACTAGAAGCAGCAAGTCGAGCTGGTGAACTCAATGATCAGATGGCTGCACAGAATGCTAATTCAGATGATGTATCGTTAGCTGCTCAAGAGGGCTTAGAAATTAGAGGTAATAATTTCATTATCTCACTAAAATTCTGATTGATTGACATTTTTTATAAAAACTTTCCATAAAGTCTATGAATTTAATTAGCATTTTGTTCTAGAGAGGCTCGGAACTCGATGCTTGTGGTGTAGTGATCTGGTTCGTTGGTTGTATAAGTTATGTCTTGTGACTTTTTTGAACTAGTTCGTTTCGAAACATACATATCCATTGTTTAGGAAATGATGCAAGGCATTTACTAATGCACAAATTAATGCGAACAAATCGATCAACAGTAATAGTGCTGAGAAATATGGTGACGATTGAAGAATGCGATGATGAACTGGAGGGTGAAATTCGTGATGAATGTAATAAATATGGCAAAGTTCAAGAAGTAAGGAACACCTTAAATAGTATGATAGCGAGAGCTGAATGGTTCTTTTAGTACGATTTAAAATTTCATTTCTTTAGAAAATAGTTGAGATCTGTTTTTAACATCAATGGATAAATGTTTGATAAATATAGAGATGCTAAATGATTTCACTTTTATTGCTAGCATTTTTATTCGTCAGTGAATGTCATTCTTTAAAAGTATTACCATTTCAAAGTTAACTGTGATAGTATTTTTCAGGTAGTAATAGCTCAAGATCCAGCAAATGGTAGTGTGAAGATATTCGTACGGTTTGATAACTCACAGGAGGCCGATACAGCACGACAGGCGCTGGACAAACGATATTTTGCTGGTCGTGAAATTTCGGCTCAGAATTATGATCAGATACTGTTTGATCATAACGATTATTCAGGATAAAAATTAGATCTAATTTAAGAATTATGGGAAATGTTTGTGGAAAATTTAATGCCTCTACCGAAGAGTTCGAAATATTCTGTACTTTTGAAATTCTGCAGAATATAGGATATCTAAGCAGGGGAAAGCGTGAATTATAGCATAGTGGTTACAAGATTAGAGAAAGCACAACGATTGCTGTCATCGGAAATAAAATACGTGAGTAGGACAAATTATTGTTCTGGTCAATTCATTGCTTTGTTCATAAATTTTCGATTGTTTGTTTGTTTATTTGTTTCCTTGTTTACTTAAAATAGTTATCAATTGCTTTTGGTGATCTTTGTTGATGGTCCAGCAGAAATAAAATGAAATATTTCCATAATGAGTTGTTTTTGATTTTCTAACCGAACTTATCGGATTACAATGAATTATTAATTTAACAATGAATAATAATATAATAATTTATGCTAGATATTAAAGTTTTTATTGAACTCTTTCTTCTCACAGAACTCTGAGAATTGGTATTCTTTTCTCTCCTATTAAAGTAGCCGTATCATTAAGATTTAGGATAAGTTTTGCTTTTTTTTTTTTCGAGATTTCACGCTGTACAGTACGAAGAGGAAAGAGGTCAGGGGAGATATTTAAAGCGAAAAAATAGATGGAGGTGTAATCTTTTTAATAAAATGGTTCGGATGTGTTAGAATAGAGCAGACTGTTGTACAGTCACTGCTCCAAGCAGGTTCCCACCTGACATGGTATCTTCGGTTTATTATTTATTACTTATTCCTTATCGCACTACTATTTTTACAGTATTTTTATCATTGATTGATATCAATTACTGATTATTATTTTGTCATCACAGTTCTTTATTATTGACAATTAACTTCAGATAATAATTTTCTTCTTGATCTCCAAGTTATACTTTATTTGTCATAAAATCAAGTCGAAAATTCGTATTGTTGAAATGATTCAGTATTAGTTAAGCGATTATTACTGAGAATCATTAGGATGAATGAAATTAACGATGAGCATTCTGTGTCTGATATTGATACATTCTGTTTTATCGTTTCATTATTGTGAACGACTGTTTTTATATGAGAAAAAAATTTTCAGCAGACAATTGGCGATGATATAGCTAGCATATGTAAGATACATTTATAGCTCCGAAACCACCGCTGTCATCGTTAGTAGTAACTATTTTCCCAAGTAAAAAAATTATAGTGGTAATATTACAGTATTATGATTATGATTAAACTTGAGATATATAATAGATTTACAAGAGTGTAAAAATTGTACCTCTGATCAACTGGCAGTATCAGAAGAAGGTTTAGGTAAATTTAAAAATTCTCACTGAATCGAAATTCCGTTATCTTGTTGCGTGTAAGTCATTGAATTTTCGTATATTTTTGCATTAATGAAATCGAAAATATAACAATAATTGTTGAAGGAATCATTTGAATCATGGCAACCGCAGTTCGCGGATGTGTATTTTGTAGTATTATACATGGCCAACGTGACAAACATTTGAAAGCTTCCGATAATGTTAGTAATCACTTGTTAGGATTTTTACAAATTATTTATAATTTGAAAAAAAGCTAGCTGCTGAAAAAATGTTTGCAGTTATGACAATTTATTGGTATAATTAAAAATAATAAAACAGTTACACATCGGATAGGTAGTCCCGTATAAAATTTTAAAACATGTAGCTTCTCCTTTAAGGATAGAATGTCCACTCATTAGTAAGATGTCGGCAGCTTTTCTTGACAGTTTTAATTTATATTATTTGATAAAATTATGTTTCATTTTAAATTATATTCTGCACATTATAAAATTATGCTATGTGCAGTTACTTTTGACTTGTTTGTTTTATCTTTGCAAAATCTGTGTAGTTGACTTTGGGATACGATGTTTAAGGCGGTGGTAGTTCAAGATAGATCACCACATGCACCACATCATTATCTAATACTCAGCAAACTGCATATCAATCAAGCAAGTGATTTGACAGTTATTGATCTTCCTCTCGGTGAGATATTGAGTTTTTAAACAGCTGTTTTATAAAATAACGCTGAGATACGCTGCATAGTTTTGTCTTTTCCTAATATAATTTTTGTGATCGAAGCACAAATTTTATGATTTTGATTGCTTTTTCAGTCAAATAATGTGATAGAATGCTCATTTATAAAGGTTATACCACCATATTTAGCTTTAGGTTTAGTAAAGTTTTTATCTTTCTATGTTTCGACATCGAAAATTAACAATTTGGAATTTAGAAGTCATGATATAACTTCAGAAGATTGTATACCAATCATTGTACCAATGAGATGTAACTTTTTCGTAATTTCAAACATGTTTTAGTAAAAGAAATGGATAATCTCGGACGAAGTTATCTGCGTGAAACGTTGAAGGAAAAGGGCGAGGCTGATACTGTAGAAGATTTGTTACGAATGGGCTTCCACTGGTCAATATTTGTTAGTGTACGCCATCTTCATATGCACCTGCTGTATCCGACGCAAAGGGTATACTAAAATTCGACTATACATTATAAGGAGATAATATACAAACATGTAAAGTACCTTCAATGTATACATTTTTATGTAGAATCCAGTTATTTCGTTTTAAATTGTTTCGAAAGCCTTAAAATCTCATTATTTGCAGATGAATTTTTTTTATCGGGCAGTGGTATTTCGGCCGGGACGATTTTTCCGTACAACAAAAAATATTATCGACAGTCTGGAAAAGAAGAAAGTTGCTGATAGTCGTACGAAGAAAATCGTGAGGAGTAATACTACAACTGCAGATGATTCACCTGTAAAAAACTTACCAGATACAACGTAATCCTTATGTTCTAATCTCATGTAAGCTAATCGAAAATTTTGCAGCTAATGATTTCAGATAATATTTTATCTGAAATCACTAGCTGCAAATGATGATTGGAAGTAACAGAACTTGAACGTCAGATAGTGTTTATTCGGGTCATCGGGTCAATTTCCCTTATCT